TCATTCCAGCTTCAGAACCATGAGGTTGTACCCAGCAGGTGGCTTGAGGGACAGCTCTCCCCATCTTCCACCATCTTGGGTGCAGGGGTTGGCATGGTCTGGGGTGCATCTGCCCACACGAACTTACCCGGTGACCCAGCACCTAAGTGTGGGCAGTGGGAGCCAGATGATGATGACCTTTTCTCATTCTCCTTGTGTCCGACACCCCCTAGACCTGGACCTGGGAGTCAGACTGGCTGTAAACTTGGACCAGACCTGGTGGGCTTCACAATGGCAGTGACCACTGTAAGTGCACAGTGGTGGCATGGAGGTGACATCAGGTATGGCTGCTCTCCAGAGCTGCTAGGGCTTCCTGACATTCGATTTTATGGGTGGGAAATACCTTGTTTCTTGGCTTTGTGCGAGAAAGAATTCGTGCCGAAGCCTGTTTGTGATTGAAGTGGGTTTTTATAAAGGAAGGAAGAAGTTTCAGGCTTTACAGTCTCAAAGGAGTACACACTATTTCGGGGAAGCCTGCTGTAAGTCGTGCTGGGGTTCACCACTGAACATGGGCAACCTGGTGGGACTGTTCGCCCACACGTGGTGGCCAGAGGCCAGAGAGACTGCAGCACGGCCAAGTGGGCACAGGAGCTGGGTCAAGGGCAGAAGGCTGAAAGGTGAAGGGGCTCTTGCTGGCCCACCGCCAAGGTATTTAAAGCCTCTGGCTGGGGAGGCATGGTTGTTGGTATTGGTCGACCACAATGGCTGAATCAAACCCACCTGGCTGTGTGTTGGGGGTGGTGGTGCCTGAGTTGGAGCATGCCCAATTAAAGGGCCCTTGTAGGTGTTTAATGCTCACGTGATTTCTTTCCCAACCTCCTGTAGGGGGCCTTCAGGCATGAAGAGGGACAATCCTGTCCCTATTCTACCTAGCAGTGGGACAGAACTTGTGCTCAGAGACAAGGCTTCAGCTCATCCACTGTCTGCACTGTGTGTGGAGCTGCATGCAACCTTGGGCAGAGAGGTGAGGGTAGGGAAACAGGTCCTTTAACAACTCTATGAGGTAGGTACCCCATTTTTAAGACATGGAGGGCCAGCGAGGTGAAATCGCCAGGACACACAGCAAAAAGGGGGCAGAGCTGGCATGGGGAAGCAGGCTGCCCAAGTCTGGCTCTCTGTCCTCGATTTGCATTCCCTTACCTCATGTTGGGGAGGCCTGGACATACAAAGGGCCCAAGGTAAATGTGTTCTAGGAACATATGACCAAGTCAATGGATGAAGAGCAGGTGTTACTTCCTGCTACAACACCTGAACGTGCCTGTCCTCTGATGGTCCCCTGTGAGAGCAATGACAAGCAGAACCTGTCCAGTCTGTGGCCACTGGGTTCTGGGTGGGTGGGTGTGGGATCCAGCCCCACAGTCAAAAGGATGCTCAGGTGTTCGAGGAACCAGCCAACAACAACTGAAGGGCCAGAGGTGCAAATGTACAGCAATGATATATAAAGATGATAGTAAAGTCGTAGAGGCTAAGAGATAGAAAGGGAGTCAGACACATTGTATGGTCGCATGCTCACCTCAACTCCTATTGATGGACCACGTGGAACTGAGTGCGCTGGAGATCTCAAGATATTTATGTCTGCTTAAGACATGCATATTCAGTAGTTACGTCACAAGGTGGGCAGTATCTACTATAGGGGCCTGAGCTCACAAGTGAGGAAACCTAATATCTGCATTGGGGGATGGTACAAGGGGGGTTGGGTGTCGCAGAGGGAAGAGGGGAAAGGATAATGTCTGCTTCTATAGGGAGATAGAATCAACTATGTTCTTACTTTGAGGCAGCATAGCTGTTAAGGGGAGAAGCTGCGTGAATGACTTTTAAAGCAGGATGATGTACCTGGACTTGACCTCTAACTTACCAAAGTGGAGGCTTTCCTACCTCGGAATACCAGCTTTCCAGATTCCCTCTGAAGTAAGTTAGGCGCAGGGTCCTCAAACTTTGTAAACGGGGCCAGTTCACTGTCCCTCAGACCCGTTGGGAGGGCTGGACTATAGTTTTAAAAAAACTATGAACAAATTCCTATGCACACTGCACATATCTTATTTCGAAGTACAAAACAAAATGGGGCAAAAACACTGGGCGGCCTGGATAAATATCCTTGGCGGGCCACTTGTGGCCCACGGGCCGTGTTTGAGGACCCCTGAAATCAGTTCCTCGTATTTCCCACACTTAGGTTCAATGTGTGCAGTTACAGAAATCAGAAAGACATGACGGGCACAGAGGTCTCCAGTATTGGAAGAAGAACCTGCAGCTTATTCAACAATAATGTGGCTTGCAGGCCTCTTGTTGATACACACAATAAAATAGGCAAGGTGCTGATCTCAAATATCCTGAGCCCTCTAGGGGAACACTTGAAAGGAAGGGCCTGCCAGGCAAGTAAACAAACAAAAGGCATCAATTGCTCCTTAAGAATGGGAGACATAAAAATTTAAAAAAAAGAATGGTAGATAACAGCAGGGGATACCCTTAAGCATCCTTTAAAAAAAAATCATTTTATTGGGGGCTTGTACAGCTCTTATCACAATCCAAACACACATCCATTGTGTCAAGCACACTTGTGTATTTGTGGTCATCATCCTCAAAACATTTTCTTTCTACTTGAGCCCTTGGTATCAGCTCATTTTTCCCCCTCCATCCCCTACCCTACCTCCCTTCCTCCTGAACCCTTGATAATTTATAAATTATTTTTCAGGTCTTTACACTGTCCGATGTCTCCCTTCACCCACTTTTCTGTTGTCCGTAACTCAGGGAAGGGGTTATATGTAGATCACTGTGATCAGTTCCCCCTTTCTCCCCCACCTTCCCCTTCCCCTCCTGGTATCGCTACTCTCATTATTGGTTCTGAGGGATCTATCTGTCCTGGATTCCCTGTGTTTCCAGCTCTAATCTGTACCAGTGTACATCCTCTGATCTAGCCAGATTTGTGGTAGAATTGGGATCATGATAGTGGGGGCAGGGGTGGGGGGAAGCATTAAAGAACTAGAGGAAAGTTGTATGTTTCATCGTTGCTGTACTGCACCTTAACTGGCTCATATGTAAGCATCCTTTTAACAGTGTGTGTGAGAAGCCAGGCTGGGTGTAGGAGACAACTTAACATTTTATGGGGGATAAATGTGATGAATGTGTTTCCTGGCACTTAGCAATTTTCTCCAAACTGGTAGATGTCTTCCTCTCAATGCTAGTGCTGGTTTTCCAAATGCTGTACTCATGAGAGCGAAGACTAGGCCATTTACACCTTATTCCACGTCCTCAGTTTCCCACAGGTGGGAGGACCTTGGTTGGCTTATAGGACTTCTGGGAAAA